CCCGTATTATCCACCAAACTAGTAAAATCCTGTTAATTAGTTTATGGCTTGCAATGCAAAAATAAACTTCCAACCCCTTCTGTGAAATAATAATAATTTTTTTTTTTTTGAGATGGAGTCTTGCTCTGTTGCCCAGGCTGGAGTGCAGTGGTGTGATCTCGGCTCACTGCAACCTCCGTCTCCTGGGTTCAAGCAATTCTCCTGCCTCAGCCTCCTGAGTAGCTGGGACTACAGGCACACGCCACTACATCCAGCTAATTTTTGTATTGTTAGTAGAGACGGGGTTTCATCATGTTGGTCAGGATGGTCTCGATATCTTGACAGTGTGATCACCTGCCTCCGCCTCCCAAAGTGCTGGGATTACAGGCGTGAGCCACCATGCCCGGCAGAAATAATCATTCTTTATTTAAGTCTGTCACTTCATAAAAGCAAAAGCTTAGTGTGAATCCTTTTATGGCCAGACAGTGACTCTCACTGTATATATTCACAGCCACAGAGTGGAAACAAACACCTATGGCAGACTGAAGAACAGAAGGGAAGGATAAGGGAGACCTGCCTGGTTTTCCCACCTGCAGAAGAATGACTCACCTGCAGAGGTCATGGTACACCTGTGATGCAGGGACGGGAAGAGTTTGCATGGAGGACCTGACATTCAGTGTATGTTACTGATGCATCCAAGTGTGGTCCAGGTCACTGCAGGGGGAAGGGGATGAAGCTGCTTCATTCAGTGCCAAGCACCTTGCAGAGGGCCTTCAGTTTATGATACTCCATAACCCTCAATGACTCTGAGAGTCAGAGATGACATTAAAGCTATTTTACAGACAATAAAGCTATTTTACAGACAAAGAAATGAAGGAGACAGATCACTGAGTAAGTTGCTCAAGGTCCCATAGCTGGTGATAAGGTGGAGCCAGCATCTGGGGCCAGGCAACCTGAATGATATGTTGTTAACAGTCCACACTGCCTCCTATCCAGAGAAAGTGAATCTTACAAACCATGGAGTGCACAGTGTCATGTTTTTATATTTCTATATCTATTGCTGTGTCCCTGCATCTGTCCATCAGTAATGATTTAAGAGGAGGTAGAAAGAGGTGCAAGAATCCCCATTCCTTCCCCAACACAGACAGGTGTAGAGCTGCCCCCACACAGAACTGCAGTGGTATTACTACATGTCAGGAAGTGGAAAGCAAAAACAGCAGGGAGATGGAGAATGGGTCCAAACAATTCATTGATTTAGGTGACAGGCATTCATTGAACACCTCCTAAGGGCCAGCCCACAGGCCTGTACAGGACCCAGATCAAAGCACAGTGGGTGGGGTGGACAGGAGATCAGAACGGAGACAAACTGACTGATGCTCAGGCATGGGAAAGTGAAGGCCCTGAAATCACGATGAAGAAATCAACACATTTGGTTTGCAAGTATATGAACACGCACACCTTCCTACAGCAAACCGGTGTAGACAGGCAGAGCCCACCCAATGTCAGCTGGCCCTGGCCCTTTGCTTCCTAAAGACAGCCCCCCAACTCGCCCAAAGCAGGGTCCTCCCAGTGCTGTGAGTGCTCTGCAACCTGGCCCCCAACTCCACCCTTCTCCATTCACTCTGTGCCAGTGACACTGGCCTCTGTGGGTGCCCTGCTCCCCAGGCACACTCCTTCCACAGGGCTTTGAATTTGCCATTCCCTGGGCAGGGATGTTTCCTCACTGCCTTCAGGCCTCTCCTCACAGCAAGGCCCATCCTCTCCACGCAGCAGAAACAAGCCCCAGCATCCTGACCCCGGTATGCTCTACACCCTTACTTAAATGCAGTCCTTTCCCATTGTTCAGTGTCCTTTCTCCCACTGAAATGCAGGCTCCATGAGGGCAGGGGCTTGCTGATTGACTTCTCCCTTCCCAAAGTTCAGAATGGTGCCTGGCACTTAGTGCTTCAAGCAACTACAGACTCCAGTAATGTTGGTCCATGGATGGATTAGCTGACATGATGGTTGGAAAGTAGACATGGGCACATTCTTTAGGAGAATCTGAATGAGGGCCCAAGAAGAATGGTGGGGAAAAAACAGCCGCTGGCTCAGTGAGGACATCCAGCAGTGACTAGAATCTAGTTCTGACTCCAAAGACCTTGTGCTGCGGCTATTTGTTGCAAATAACGGACTTTTATAAAACTGTCTGCAAGTAGGGCAGATTTGGATGATTCAAAACCAGGTCTGGGACTTCCTGCAACGTTGGCCTGACCCCACAGGGGAGTAAAGGACAGACTCCTGCAGTGGATCGGGAGCTGACGCACTCACACCGAAAGGGCAGCCACAGCATCTGGTGATGGTTCACAAGAGTTCCCTGGAGGCTTTTAGCTCTATTTCCCACGAAAGAAACACACAAAGAAACACTTCCAAAGATGAAAGAATCTGGACCAACATCTAGGCAACCTGGACTTGGGAGACACTGCATTCAGGGATGCAGACCCTGCCCCATGCTGGAAGCATGGTAGATTTGGACTGTATTCAGTACAGTGGCAAATTCTCATGCTCTCCACAAGCATACACAACCATATTCAAACACTCACAGGATAACACACCCCCTACACTGCAACAAGGAAGGTTTACACACTTGGCAATAGCTAAGAACCCCAGCCAGGTTCTGTAGGAGATGAAAGGTTGCCACAAGGTGAAATTGCCAGGTGGTAAAGCCTTCCAGGATATTTCCTCACATTTTCTCTGTTAAAAATACCGTAAGATACCCTGACAAGGAGACTTTCCTGGTGCTCATGCTGGAGAAAGCATTGAAGAGAGACGAAAAGCTACACCGGTGATGACCACATGTACTGTGCTATGTACATGGTGTGCGTTTTCATTGAATCCTCAAGACGGTCACAGACCCAGCACAGCAGAGCCTGGGGAAAGTTCCCCTTAGTCTAAGGTTCTTCAACTGTCATGGGAACATGGGTTCTGAAGCTGGGTCTTGCTGCCCAGGTTTAGCTCTACTCTTCCCTCTCACTAATACCCTGCCTGATGCCAGGCCTGGGCATGGGGTGCTATGCACCGCCAGTCCACAGGTGAGCCCTGCAGGTGTGAAGGGAGCACAGGAAGATGGGGGACTGAGCTGTGGACAACACAAGGGAGAAAGCCTTGGAAGCTATTATCTGGGAGGTTGGCGATTATGGGGTGATAACTGGGCAACTGCAATATAAGGTAGAACAGGAACCCAGGAGAAGAGGACAGCTAAGGAGGGGGCGCTTGGTGAAAATGCAGAAGCCCAGACTCCTTTCCCACAGGCCCATGCCTGGTTAGCTCTGACTCCAGCTGAATAGGAAGCACAGCAAGTTTGAGACTCTCTTGCATAAACCATAAGCCCCAGTGTCAGGTGCATGTGCTGTGAGGACACATGAGATGTCGGTCTGCACAGGGCAGATAGAGAACAAGGTATGTTCGGCAAATAAGAGCTTTACCTCCCAGCCTTCTGCATGGGGTTTATACACATCCCCCGGAAAGGAAGGAGAGAGCAGAAGTCATGGCCATGAAGGGTGCAACTACTGTTTTCAGGAACAGACAACTCTGAATAAAGAAATGGCTTCGTGGCTGAAGAGGCTATGAGCAGACTTCTTAACCAGCAGGAGGTTGGCCAACCTCATCGTGCGGATTATGCTATTTTGGGCTGACTTCACATGCCAAGATGCTATGTGCATGGCTCCATGACATTCATGTTGGAAATTATTGCTGAGAAGATGGTAAGAGGCCAAACCTCAGCAAAAACAGCCATAGGTGCCTCCAGTGAGGGGCAATGTCTTCCCTCCCCACAGCGTTCTGCTGCTGCGTGGGGCTGCATCCCAATAGAGACCATCGCTGTAGGCACCACCACGTAGCAACCTGGGCCACTCTTCCTTCTTCTTTTTTTTTAAAATAGTATTGTGGTCAATTTCTTTTCTCTTCTTTTTTCCTTCTTTTGAGACAGGGTCTCACTATGTTGCCCAGGCTGGTCTCAAACCAGCCTCAAACCATAGTGAGATCATAGGGAGGATCAAGCGATCCTCTTGCCAGGAGTAGCTGGGACTAGAGGTGCGTGCCACTGCACTCAGCTAAGATCATTTTTGAAATACAAGGTATGACAGTCAAGTCTGAGGAAATTCCTCTGACAAGATGGACATGCAGAGAAAACACTTCCAAATCTAGGAAAAGTTTACAAAGTCAGCTGGGGATTCGCCAATTGCCAAACCATGAGGCTGCATCGCTGGTTCTGGTTATGCTTCCAAGGTAAGCACCTCTGTAAGGACACTGAGAGGTGATCAGGGGATCATTTCCCCCAGAGACAACCGCCCCACTGAGCCACCTTGACCAGACACCCTCGAAGGAACAAGGTTGACACCTCCCAAAGACAGTTCTTTACCTTCTCTGGACAACTGACTGACCACATTGGCCTGTATCTCAGAACCTTCTACAATTTAGATTTACATTGAACCACTGAGGATAACAAACAGAACCCAGGATTCAGACAGACCCTCTAATGATTGTGGGCCTAAGGCTGAAGCCCACAAACCTACACTCACCACTCACGGATGCTACTCCCAGGAAACTTTCCTTAACATCTTTCGTGTTAGCATCTGGTTTCATGTAAAAATAGAAGTAAAGTCTGAGATCAAGGGGGTAGTTTGAGTGAAAAAAACTGCAGTATTTTAATTTCAGTTGGATAACCACAGAATTTGCTATGCATCCTATAATTTGCCATTAAAAGGAGAATATGGGGCTGAATCACATTTTCTTTAAACTTTATGTCCCTCGGTGCCCAAAAAGAGTGTTCATTTTAGAGTTAGACTGGGCAAAATAAACACTGGGTCACAGGTGATAGCTTTAGTTAGAAATGTCTTTAGGACAGGCCAGCATGCATGTTGTCAAACGACAATGTATGGCCCCTTCCCAGGGTCATGTGAGGCCAGTCACAGGGAAGCTGAATTATTCCCAATTGTCCCCACAGGCCTGGTGGCAGGAGGTGAGGGGGAAGGCACAATACTCACAGGAACTTTCCGTTTGTCTTTGATCCTATCAGGACAATTTGCTCAGACTCTTCCCGAGAGATTTTTCCATGGAACCAAGGCATTTTTTCATGGGCTGTGGTGGCGATCAGCTTCTCCAGCTGAGGCTTCTGGCTGATGATGGCCTGCTCCAGAGCCTGACCCTGCCACGTGGAGAGCAGAGCAGAGTAAACCACACCGAGGAAAAATGAAAATGATGCAGAAGGCATTTCCAGTCTGTCTCGAGTCCTGGCATGGTAAAACAGGATCAAACCTTATTCACTCATTCATTCAGTAAATAAAACCAGAAAGATCTTTACACATTACTTAAGTACTTTCAAGTGTATAAATAAAAAGAATATGGCTGGGCACGGTTGTTCACACTTGTAATGCCAGTATTTTGGGAGGCCAAGGTGGGTGAATCACTTGAGGTCAGGAGTTCGAGATCAGCCTGGCCAGCATGGTGAAACCCCATCTCTACTAAAAATACAAAAATTAGCCAGGTGTGGTGGCACATGCCTGTAATCCCAGCTACTTGGGAGGCTGAGGCAGGAGAATAGCTTGAACCTGGGAGGCAGAGGTTGCACTGAGCTGAGATCATGCTGCTGCACTCCAGCCCGGGTGACAGAGCAAGACTCTGTCTCAAAAAACAAAAAATAAAAAAATAAACATACATATCCTTTGCTCTGGCAATCCCAACCCTTTCAAAGTTTATCCTGCAGACATTGCATATGAGCATAGTATACGATAGGTCTAAAGCAATGTTGTTAGCAGCGTTTATTCATAAACAGCAAATGTGTCCATCAATAGGTACTAGTTAAATAAATTACAGTGCATAGCAGGTGACACCAGATAGCCAAAGAACAGGTGATGCAGCTTCATGAGTGTTGACACAGAAAGTTCTGCAAGAGATATTAGGAAGTCATAAAATCAAGTGCCTATCAGTGTGTCTAGTAGGACCTTGTCAGATAAATAGAAACCAATCAACACCTATCAATGCCTCTCTGAAAAGGCCCTCCATGCACTGGGTAATGGTGATTCCCTGTGGTGGAGGAACCCACATTGCTGGCACAAAGGGACCCATCCTCTCAGCTGTGGCTGTGAAAGGGGAAAGGCTCGTATTAGAGAGAGGCACTTTTTGGCCAAAGCTGATGCTTCAGGAGGTGGTTGTGTTATTTGGGCACACAGGGTACATAGGCATAGGTGTTGCATGTAGCCAGGAAGTCTGTGTGGGGTCACAGGGCCCCCTGGGTCCAGGGAGCAGGACCAGCTGTGGCGCACCTGCAGGTTCCATGTCTGCTTCACATATTCCCTGATGAGGTTTTCCTTCAAGTCCTCAAAGGGCCCAGTCTTGGGTTGCACCCCCTGTGGCCGGTTGAAGGGCTTCTTGAGGAGGCAGACCAGGCCATCAGGCTCCTGAGAGTGGTAGTGGCAGAGGTCGGCGGGGCTGGCGTGGGTCCTTCCGCCGGCGATGGCGTAGGTGCCGTTCAGCTCCCGCTCGATGGTGTAGTGGTGTGCCTTCCTCCCGTGCGCCACGGACAGGGCGAAGCCGCCCAGGTAGTTGCGGCTCTGGCGCAGCAAATAGAGCCCATCGCTCATGCCCCCCTGGACCAGGTAATCTTCCGCCTCCTCCCGGGTGATGTTGCCGAAAAAGAAGGGCAGGTGGTTGGCGTTGTCAGCCATGCCGCTGCTGGCCATGCTTCAGAGGCCGGAGGGCACACGCCTACGCAGGTGTCCACCTGGGCAAGACAGAGACAGAGAACTTTGGTGAGGAACCCACGTGGCAGGGAACATTTGCTAAAACCACTCAAACTCTTTCAAAGGGGAGACAAACCCTTCCAGCTCTGAACAGAGACACTTCCCTCTTTGGCCCTCCCAACACACAGTTGTCTTTCTGTCCACATCATTACAGTTTCCAGCATGCCTTCTAACTAAGCTAAAATCAGAGTATTTGATGGAAGTGACCAAATTAAATAATTCTTTTTTGTCGGCGGGGTGGGGAAGGACAAAGAATTCTAAAAATAAACATACCACAAAGAGAAGCAAACAGAAGGGCTATTGCAAAACAGGACTCTTGAGCTGACCCTAAGGGTCCCCGCACGCACACAGGAGGCAGAGTCTACATGAGCACAAACCACCTGCTCCTGCTGAGTCCAGACAATGTTAGAGAAGCCCTGCTCCTCATCAGAGCGTCCAAGGAGGACGCTACCACCGCCTCACCCACCTGGGCTGCCAGACTCTGCCTGGAGCAGTCAGTCACACGCTGGTGCTGAGCCCCAGAGGTGAAGTGAGGCCACGTTGAGGGCCCACACGGAACTGTGACTTGCGGTCACCACAAGGCCTTCCCACCTTCAGCCCAGGGCTATGACAGCAACAAGCCACTGCCTGAGACATGAAGAGTGACACCCTCCCGGCTCCCGAGGCCTGGGGCCCATAGGCTGTCCTCTCCCCACTTCTCCAGACCACTTCCTGGGCAACTCCACTTCCCATCTGCAGGGCCCGTGTTAAAGAGATAGTGCCTGTTCCCAGGCCACGAGGACATCTGACATAGGAGAGACACTGCTTGCAGCAAATAAATACACTTCAGAAGCAAAAAGGAAGGCGGCCAATGCATATTTAACATGGAGAGTATTTCCTCTCAATCATAGTTGTAAATGAGAAGGATACATATTGCTAGCCCCAAAAGTATCCAACAAGGCACATTTTAACCAAAAGGGGCTGGTCATGAACGGAAAATTATCTAGATGACTCCATCCATTTATCCAGGGAGCAAAGCGCATGCCCCTCATGGTCCACACACACACACCCCATACCACATGCACACTACATGCACGCCACACACACTACGAACACATACCACACCTGCACTACACACACGCCATGCCCTACACGCACACTATACGCATCACACACACCAAACGCACAAACTGCACACACACCACACACACAAAACACACTACACACATCACACACTACACTACATACACACTACACACACAAAGCATACACAAAACACACACCACTACATGCACAATACACACATCACATATACACATCACACACTGCACACACAACACACACAAATTACATACACACCACACACAACACACACAAACTACATGCACACCACACACTACACACTACACACATCACACATACTACACATATATCACAAACTACATACACACCACACACACCATAATATACACAACACATGCTACACTACATACACACTACACATACAAAACACACACAAAACACACCACACAACTACATGCACACTACACACATCACACACACCACACACACACAAACTACATATACACTACACACACTGCACACATACCACAAACTACATACACACTACACACACAAAGCACACACTGCACACATACCACACACAAACTACATACACACTACACACGCAACACATTACACATCTCACACACACTGCACACATGCCACACACAAACTACACACACACTGCACACAACACACTACACACACATTTCACACGTAACACACTACACACACCACACTGCACACACACCACATACAAACTACATACACACTACACACAACACACTACATGCAACACACAAAACACTACATACACACTACACACAGAAAACACACACAAACCACACCACACCACTACATGCACACTATACACATCACACACACCACACACAAACTACATGCATGCCACACACACACCATAGTACACACTACACACACAAAACACACACATGAAGCACACCACACCACAGACCCCGCACCACGATGATGTGAAGTGGCTTCTTCTCAACATGCACTATCCTACAAGGGGCTACAAAAGGTAAGAGCGTCAGCCTGACACACGCACCAGAGTTCTCCCCAGATGGTATCCTCAAGTCAGTACTCCTGGGTGAGCCCCTGATGCGGCATGGGTTTGATTATAATTTGAGGGTATTCATCATTTCCTGGCTTGCCTCTCACAGTAGTTGACTATCAGTGACTTTTCTTTGCCCAACAAGTTTCTAAAAGTTCATCTCTTAGCAAGGTGTTTTTGTTTTTTAAAGTATATCTACATTACTTTGGAGTCTAAGAAGGCTGTTAACAGAAAGACGCCTCTGGAAACACAGTGTGCCGATGAGTCTCTTGGAAGAAATACTTCTTTTTCGACTGCTTTCCCCTTTCTACAATGCTTTGGTTGAAGGTCAGCCACTGCCCCCAGCCTGCCTTTCCCGCGCTCCTCCCTTTTCCTGCAGTGGGTCTTCTCAGGCCTCCAACCCCATATCCATTGTTTCCCCTGCAGCCCAGCAGGTCTCACACTTCCACGTGGCCTGGGGGCTCTGACACACCCAGGGACTGGGACGCTGCTGTTCCTGCAATCCTGATGATGCGGATGCCAGGTTCTGACACCATCTGAGACCAGGCTCTCCATCTTCTCTGCCTTCCCTGCCCAGGCAGTGCCCCAGCCAGGAACCCAGGAGCCCTCCGCAGGCCTTGCATTCTCTAAAGTTCATTTTCCAAGCGCCCCTGGTGCATGCTCCTTACTGCCCGTATCCATGACCCCTGCCTGGCTTAACCCTGTCCTTTCCACTGCTGCCCTTCACCCCTCACCTTCTGCCCTCCCGCTTCCTGACGCCTCCCTCTCCAGCTGCCCGGTCCTCCCTCAAAGCACACATCAGCCCTCCCTGCCTCTTCCAACTTGCTCAGTCCACAGACCACACTGGACAGCACTGGGATGCTGTGGCTTCCCCTTCTTGTCCTCACCACATGTGCTTTCTGCTGACGCGCACAGATCTTCCTCCTGGCCATCTAGGTCATCCTTGCAGACCCAGCTCAAATACCCCTGTTGCTGTGTACCTGGCCCTGATGCTTGTGTCCCCTCTGCAGGGCCCAGGTTACTTTTTATGTAGTTGCAGAAGAGTAGACTGCACCATCAGCTGCAACTGAGACAGTAATTTTGTAGGAACAAAATTTTAAATAAAATGTGAGCAAATACTTTTTAACTTATATAAATCTTAACATAGCTACTATTTTTAAAATTCATTGGCTTGTCACTAATCATTACATGGGTGCTGGCACTTTGGCATGAATCCCATATAGAAGTGAATGGAAAGGAAGTGAGACAGGCTGTGGCCAGGTCTTGGGGAGCATCTGCAGACCCAGAGCAGCCTCCAGGCACATGCCAGGGACACTCTGTGTGGCTCTGATGGTGCATTGCAGGTACATTCCCAAGCAGGCAGCAGAAGAATGTGCTACACTGTGTCAGCACCGATGTGGCTGATGGCCCTTTTCTGGCCATGTGACTTCCTGTGCTGGAGTTGACCTGGGCGTGTTGGTGGTGATGGTTTGGGCAGAATCACTGGTTCACTGCCAAGGACAGCTTATGGCACATTTTTGGGCTATTTAATTGGGGGAATAAACAGCGTCCATGGTGTTCCTGTGCCTACCTTCTCAGGACTGGCACCCGCCGGCACCCACCCGGGGCCTTGTCCTGGTCTCCAACCTCCTCTTTTTCAGGCCACCTTGTCAGGAGTTGGCCATCTCCATTCCAGCCACTGCCCACAGTGGCCCAGGCTGCTGTTCTCAGCTCCACTTTTCAGATATCAGCTCTCAGTCATTATGGCAAGTCCAGAGAGTCTCACTTTTCACCTAGTCGTAGTCTTGGCCACAGCTGTGGCATCTCTGCTACTCCCACCAACTGAGACAGGGACAGAACCTGCGACTTTCCCTTGTACGCATTCCTCCCGCACACACAGACTCAGCCCTTCCCGCCTGATGCTTCTGCCAACTCACAATGCTTAACTCTGACTGCAGGAACAGCCCGCGGCTCAAATTCTCTTTAGCATTCCCAGGGATCATCTTCTTCTCAATAGTGTTTAGAACTTGCTCCCTAGTTTTTCTTAATTCAGCATTCCCAGTTATTTTTTTTTCCACATGTGAAACTACTTCATTCCAAAGCACAAAACTGAGAAACAGACCAGGCCCCTTAGCTCCTCCTTAACTCCACCTGTACCCCTCAGCCTGCTGGGTCTGGCACCTCAATGCACACCTGGGCAGGTAGCGGTTCAGCAAGGAGAGTTTTCAGGTGTCAGGTGAGCTCCTCAAAACACTGCAAATCCCTTGTTCTTTTAAGACCTTTTTTATGACACAAGTTAAATGTGCACTTAGTAGTAGAAAGGTGTTTTTTGACGTGAAATAATCTTTTGTAATGTCCTGGGCCGCATACCTCCCTTCCCTGCCTAATTTTTCTCTGCAGCATATCTCCATAAGGCAGCAGTCCTCTAAATCATGATTTGCTGTTGAATGTGAGTATTGTCTTATTCTTCCCACCAGACGGCCAGCTCTGTGAGGCGAGAATAGGATGACCTTGTTCACTGCCATATCACCATGCCTGGAACAGCTCCCGGTGCAGGAGAACTCATCAAAAATATTTGTTGGTTAACGGGTATTTGTTTCTCTCCACTGAACTCCTGATCTGCACATCTGCTTATCTGACATCCCCCCTTGGATGTGTAGCACACAAGTTGACCTCCACATACTCCAGATGAGGCTTTTGACTCCTCATGTCACTCCCTCAGCAAACCTATTCCTTCCTCAGTGTCTCTTAATTGAGGAAGTGACACTGAGCACCACAGTTGCTGAGGATGAGACCCCAGCGGCTTTCAGGAGTCTCCCCTCTCACCAAGTCAGAAAGGAATGTGCTTTCTACCAGAAGCGTCGGCCACTCACACTGATGCAGGGGAGC